GAGTTTTACACCGAGGCTCGGAGAGTCCTGAAAGAAAACGGGGTTCCGTTTCAGACACTCTTTCCTGCGAGGCTGCGAGTGAAACATAAAGAAAAGTCTCAATCTTTATGTTTTCGTTGCCTTTGAAATTGCTCTTTATAATTTCACAGGTGCAGGTCTGGCATTTATGAAGGCAGACATCTTTGTTCTACGGCAGCTCAGAGCTGACAAACTAGATTCTGTAGAGATCCCCATTACGCTGCGAGTGCATAGACTAACAGCAACTTTACCACATGTGCTGGTAAATAAAACATGTCGAATAAGGATTATTTCTATCTCACAGACCACCTAGGTTTACTCTTAAATAATTTTCTGGATTTATCGCTCAGCTCCGTCTCATCCGCTCCTTTGGAGAGCTTCAAATCTGGCCTCCTCTGCTCCATTCAGCCCACAGGCTCCTCTCCCTCGCCTGGCCCTGGCTGCACGCCGCCTCGGCCTGTTTGCGCTCTTCCTCATCTAATAACCTGCACGCCAAAGTCAAGACTTGAACTCTTTAAATGGGGAGTGTATATTCCTCCAACCGAAACAATCTCACCATCAAACTAAACAATGATGTTGAACAAATAACGTCTATATTCTCCATCTTAAGGCTGATTTATACTCCAGGTTGTCTGGGTGTGTCGCAGTTAACGCAGATATGCCCCGCCCCTTCCGCAGACACTCTGCTGCGGAAGGGGCGGGGCACTCTGCTTGTAGGTGACCGCAGACAGTGCCGAAGACAGGAGGCCTCTGATTGGTCAAATCTACATCCTTTCTACACTGTGCGTACAAGCGACTCGAGAAGTTGGACCCGCTATAAGAGCGAGGTGCGCGAGAACGCCGGGACCCTTTTCCCACCTGGATCCCCGTTTTTTTTCACCCCGATGTTCCTCCGTTGTCTCACATTTGCCCACACGTCCTCACCGTGTCGGCCGTATCGAGACCCACAGCTATTTGATGATTGTCCCTCTTGGGTTGTTGGTGGTTTCGTCGTACAGTGTGAGATGTAGCTGCCTGCAACGAAAACTTAAACTGCTTCTCTGATATCATCGGACATGCTCAGATCAGTCCGGCAAAATATGATTAAACCATGTTTATCTGCATTTTAGTTTTTTCTTTCTTTAGATTACGCACTATATATCATAATGTTAACATGAAAGGAAAAGATAAAACTCAAAAAGACTAGATTTATGTTTAAATCAAAAGCTGCAAAGTTAGCTCCCGGAATTAGCGTAGGATCCCATTTCTGGTTCAGATCGGATTTTAAGGCATTTATTTTCTCAGGAAATACATTTATTACATGATATTAACCTTTAACACATTATAGTTTAGTACGCTTACTATTTTCGGGGAGGGAAAAACGAAATTTAGGTCTTTTTGACTAAATAAAATCAAGGGCGACCCAGATGTACGTATCGGGATGCGCAAATGAGCTGGTGGCGCATTCACAGGATGGATCATGTTTCCGGGACGAATCTGTTAGTGACAGATACAACTGCCATCAGAAGCGGCCGGACAGTCTCCTAACTCCGAATGCTCTCCGTTGTCATGGTTGCGGTACTAGTGCTCTTCTTCACTGGTGGTGGTTTACCAAAACAATCCAAAATGTGGTTCTGTGCCTGGTTTCCGCCATATTGTTTCTGTCATTAGTGTGTAAATTTACTAGTCTGCTGCCGCCAGCAGGATACCTCTGTACTCGGTGACAACTAGCTTGCGAGGACAACGTAAATTACATGAACTTGTGTTGATAAGGCCTCAAAATATTTAACTTAAAATCCAAATACACGCATTGGTAAAATAAAGAAAATCAAAATAATTTCCCCAAAAAATGTGGGAAATTTAAAAATTGTGGAAATATTTTTAATAAATCTTTTTAAAAAATCTCCCTCTCGCCAAGAGGGGGTGTTGCAGCGACATTTCCCACAGTCATTGGCGAAACAGACGTCGAAGAAGAAAATACTGTAGTTTTTTAAAATAAAGTATTTATTTGTCACCGTTGAATCATTTTACCGTTGACATGTCCGTACTACGTCAAATAATCGTTCGTTAAAATGTATTTATTTTTTAAAAAAGTAGCTTAGTGCGACGTGTTCAGGACGGCTTTCAGTCAGTTTGACTCTTCACCAATTCAAAGGATGAACTATAGAGATCTATAAACCTAAATTATCAACAGTGTCACAAAAATAAGACCTGAACTCTTCGTGTCGCTTCAGTTAACAGTAACTGATTAAACAGATGTGGTCTAATGCAGGCCCAGCAATAAAACAATAAAGCAATAAAATCAAATGTATAAAAAGAGTTTGCTGAGAGAATAGATGGATTGATTCAAAGCCATTTTCCCTACATTGATTTTAGCAGCCTTAAATTGTTTATTATTATGTTTATCTCTTCTGGTTTCAGCTAATGACATAAACTGCAAGCCTGAAAACACACAGGAGAAAATATAATCCTTTGAACAATAATACAGCTGGTCCTGAGGGGGGAACTGAATATAGAGTGGTATAATAATACGGTGCTGCTAATGGGGATGCTTTGAATAGGTTAGGACCACAGCAGTTGGCTTACCGACCGATAAACATTTCTACTGTCATCATTAACCCCATGTAGCGCCCGTCTACATCCCCTCCATCCCGTAGGATGGAGGGGATGAGCATCCTTATAAACCCTGCTGGGGTCCATAGGGACGAGGCAGATGAAGATAAGAAATGCCTCACTAATTTCTCGGCAGGTTTCCTAATTGCTCACCGAGCTGCTGATCTTCACTGATGGGAATCAGGAACAGTGGAAGCAGCGTTTTAAGGCTGCAAGTCTCACCAACAGGGTGGAAGCTGACTTTACTGCCCTCGTTTTGTTCTTTAAATATGTTTATATGGAATAATTATGTGCATTTATGATTAAAAATAAATGTTTTTCTTATAGTTATATGGTTTTTTTGTAGACATGAAATCTGACAGTATGATAACCTAAAGCCAAAATATCCAAGTATTATTCTAAAAAAGTAAAAAAAAACAATCCACTGGAATTTGTCTCCAAGTTTGAAGACATTTCGCTTCCCATCCAAAGCTCAGTGGATTGTTTTTTTTTTTTTTACTGTTTTGGAGTCACTATGACCTGGATGAATATAAGTCATTCTCATGACTAATATTATCTATGTGGATCATTACAAGCACAAAGAAACTATAGAAATAACAGGATTTAGTGGTTTACAAAATGTTAGCAACTGCAGCTACAAAGGGATTCTGTACTTTCGCCTTTTCACTTAAATCTACTGCAGTACAAAAACTCAAGAGGAGATTTTACCTGCAATTTTGTAAAAGATGCCTCTTGGCCATCGTCCGTCTGTCTGTTGCCATCGTCCGTCTGTAAAGTGGACTTTAATGTGTTTTACAGCACAATAAGAGCAACAGAGAAAAGTTCTTTCTACCTGTAAGCTGTTAATCGGCCCATCGCTGGTTGTAGATAATCAGGACTTAATAATAATAATAATCAGGTCTTTACCAGGTTCAAAATGATCTGATTCAACTGAAAAACATCAATTTAGTTTTAACTCAAACGATCCAAATTTCCCCAATGACTCCATATCAGGAGGATTTCCTGTAGTGGTCTGTGTTACACCTGAGCTGCAGGAGCTTCTGAGTAAAACCGCTCTGTTTCTTTAAATACATCCTTTGTGAGATCATCTGGAGAAGGTTTAGGAGCAATCCGAAAAACAGAGCCAGAGTTCTTCCTTCAGATCATTGAGTTTCTTTAAAGTTATTGGGGAGAATTTTTAAAAGCCCTCTCCACTTAAAAAAAAATGCGTGTGCATTTCTCCTCGTGCACACCCTGTTTAAAATGTGCTGTTCTTTGAAGCAAACTCAGTCGATCACTGCTTTTTGCTCCGTTGGGAACGTTACTTCTCCTCTACTGCGCGGTGCCTGTGCCATCTTTGTTATTAGTCGCCGCTATCGGGTAGCGACAGCAGGTTACTGTGACAGCAAATCCCTGAATGGTTTATGGGGAGAGCTCTCGGTGCAAAGCATTCTGGAATATATCTGCCTCTTCTGAGGCCTCTCTTTTTTTCTCATGCGCTTTTTCTCTTACGACCCTCGGCCATTTTCAAAGAACCACGTTGAGAAAGGTGAGCTTCAATGACTGTCTGAAACCGTAGCTCAGCAGAGATATTCGCCTGAAAAAGCGCAGAAAAAGATAGCTAACGGGGCGAGCACGTAGGAAGGCCTTACGTAAACATATCAACAGTATGATTGACAATTAGGAGGACCACTGATTTAGATGATCCACCCTGAAATAAAAGATTGTCCTCTATACCTTTAAATCACAATAATAACGTCAGAGAGCCGAACTCCAGTTAGTCCTTCGCTCCTTGAAGCTTCTCTCTTGGTATTTTATTCAAACTATGGTCTGGAACATGTTGATTCAGGTCTTCCTGATTTGTTCTGCTGCATTTCTCTGCAAAAAGCTTCCGCTGTTTATTCGATCGCTTCCATCTTTCAGACAGAAAGATTCGCTTTACTCTACAGTAGCAAGTAGAGGAGGGCACTGTAGCATTATTAGCTATAAATTAAGTCCTCATAAGGCCCCTTGGTTTTTAATTGGGAGCCATTTCTTCTGTGAGGTCATTGCTGATGTCTTTCCTTCTTCCTCTTGTGTTAAAACATATGCAAACTGACTGACAGCCTGCTTTTATAGAGGAGGGTAGATTTAGAAATGTTCAGTTGTTGTTTTGATCAGCAGCTCAAGGCTACGACTGGGCTTCAAAAATCCAGTAGAAACAGTTTTCATTTTGGGATAATAAAACATGACAAGTTTTAATCATTTTTTGCGCATTTGAAGATTCACAACAATTTTAAATCCTGTTGGAGCTTTTCACCATTTTACTGCTATGCAAACATCATATCTGATTAGGGTGTGTTTCCTTTGCTATCCTATGTGGGCTTAAAGAACTTAAAGGTCACAGGAAGCTGTTTTGGATTCTGTTGCAGGAACAAGACTGGCATCCTGGGCTGGAGGAGTGAGAAGACAGAGACGGTGAATGGATATGAGGCCAAGGTATGGTGTAAGCTGCTACATCAGCATTCCAACCTCCCACAGTGCTGGTCTTAGCTAGTGTTGCGCTAATACTGATACCAGTATCGGGATACTGCAGATTTTAGTGCGGTATACTGCACTAAAATGGTGGCATCGGTATCGGCCAGTACCAACTAATAGGGCAATGATACCATTTTGAGAGCCAAAAGTTTATTCAACTATTGTCACCCATTCCAGGTAAGCAATAAAAAGTTCTACTGGATTCACTTCGTATTAGTCTTTTTCCTGCTTCACAAAGGTAGGCAGCAGCTTGGCAAAACCATGATGGCAATTATTTTACATCCAAGTAGTATGCAGTTCTTCATATATACACACACATCAATATCAGACAGACGGTATCAGCCAATACTGCACAGCCAGGTATCTGTATTGGGGCCGATACCTGGCTAATAACTCCTCCCTCCTGCCATCTTCCAGCAGTGACGTCACGGTGCGGTAAGCCTAGCGCCATTCTCCCCGCTTTACAAGCTAAATCAATGGGAACTACTGGACACATCTGCAATCAACAACAATTATTGAAGATTTCCAGAGGACTTCACCATTGAAATTCACCAGAGCTATAGTGAAACTGACAATGCCCACGTGCATGGCAGCTGGATGTTGTAATACATCGGGTAAAAGTGAAAAAAAAGAAATATTTCACCTTTCTGATTCCTGATCCTCCACGGACGGGTTGGTCGTTGGATCGCCAACTTGAAGAGGGAGGATTTGCCATCGAACTTCTGGCCAGAGAAAAAACACGTAATATGTAGCCAACATTTGGAAGAAGAATGTTTTCAAGATGACTTGGATAAAAGCGCGTTGTGACAAACACCAGATACAGCACTGGGACTTGATCAACAGCCGATACCGCACCGTGACGTCACAAACCAGTAGGTGGCAGTAGTGTTTTTTGACAAACATGGATGCCTATTACTTTCAGAAGTTTGAATTGTGAATATATGACCGGACTGTTCCTTTAAAAATGATTAAACATGAATTTAAAGATGATTTCAGGAGCTTTTTAGTGGATTAATGGTAAATCCTGTATGCTTCCAGCTAATTAAATGTGCCCCCCCCTCCCAGGTCTATGCAGCGTCCAACGTTGAGCTGATCACCAGAACAAGAACCGACCATCTGACGGATCAAAACAAGAACAAGACAAAAGGTGAGTTGTCTTCAGCGGCTACGACAGCTGCTTAGAGCCTCCAGCGCTGCAGATGTACCAGTGTACCCCCCCCAGCACCCAGAGGCGAGGGCTAACGGGCCGTAACGTTCTCTCTGAGGCTGCTTCTCGTTTTCTGGTTCAGATCATTAATCAAACAGGATTAGCAGACTTCCCCACCCAGGAGGCCGGGCTGTCAACCGTCTGCTGCTGCTCTGAGATGTGATGATGGTTGATCCTGGTCTCTAAGGTCACATCCTCACCTGCATTCTGCTGCTTTTCAGCAGGAAAGCTCTACAATGAGCTGCAGCCTTTATTTCCCTTCCTGAGTTTTTACATTTAGCATCCAATGATTAATTATTGGGAAACTTTCCACATGCTAACTAAGATTTACTGTTTATCTAACCCACCTTCTCAGTGATAAAACCACCATGTCTATGTAAATGTTAGCAAACATTAGATACATGGGAGGACACTTTATCTTTGACTCTCGCTATAAAACCTAGCCTTTTTTGTGGGAGTAGTTGTTTGAAGTTGACTAAACTTGTGAATTATCTGTTTGATGAGTAGATTATCGGTTATTTCTTATATTCCTTTCCCAAACAGTTAATGGAAGGCTAACACATACCCAGAATATGGCGGTAGATCCCACATTTGTTGCGATCTGGCAGCAAACCATCGAGTTTCTAACCCTTTTTCACATCAGCTGCCACAGAGTCAAAGCTTTAAATCAGCTGCTGATGTCTCCCTATTTTGGCTTTGGATTGTGCATCTTAGAACCTTCTGAACCTTCATTTAATCTGTTATGCAACAATACATGATCAACGTCACAGCATGAGTTGTAAATCGAGCGGATAGAAGGTTTTTCTCTCCTTTCTCTTTATAATCGGATGTGTCCAGTTCGGCTCCAAGATCCCCTGAATTAGAGACTGACACGGGAGTGGATTTTCACTCCTGTCCCGTCCCACTCCCACAGAAATAAATTGTGTCCCGTCCCGATCCCGGGCCAGAGTAGAAATCTAAATCCTGTCCCGTCCCACTCCTGGTGAAATTACTCCCGCTCCCATTCAGAATGACTCCCGCTCCTGCTTCACTCCCATTCTTGTTTTTGAGCGCGGGTGAAAAACTCAGAGCGGAAGCACTGTTGGTTTTTGGGTCGTGTAGTTTTATTGACTCGCATTATAGTGTAGGCTTCAAGGAAAAAAACTACAAAATGGCGGCGCCAGTACTGGATTTTTTTTCTATCTTATTTTATTTTTTGGCATCGATCCTAGTTTTTTTTTAGTACTATTGGTTTGCTTCCGCTCCCGTCTGCTCCCGTTAATGTTTAATCCCATACCGTCCCAATCACGTGATCGGTACTAATACTTACTCCCATCCCACAGGAATCCCGTGGGATTCCCGAAAAAATGTCAGTCTCTACCCTGAATTCTCGACCGGTGTTCTGTCAGATGAGCATACCAGGTCAGACCAGCATACCCATTCTCAATACGTTTTAGAACGTCAGATTTGCATTTATCCCTGTATTTTGAGGACAAAATAGAGTTTAAACTACCTTGAAGAGCGTGTATCTCTTTAGTGATGTAAATAATATAAACAATTTAAGGTCAGATCTGTCAGGGTTTGGTTGTGGTTTTTTTAGGACCCAAACACAGAGGCGAGGAAGCAGAGGTGAGTTATTGTATTTTTAAGTGAGTTCTCACAGGCAACAGAGGCAGGAATCCAAAAATCCAACATAAAGATGTAAAACAAACCAGAACCATAGAGACATCAGGGAAAACCTGCACCAGGAGCCATGTGAAATACGAGGAACCAGCACTGAGGAACGGCACAAGGAGAGCATCTATGGGAGGCTGAACAAAGACAGGACTAATGAGCTGATTGGGAGCAGGTGTGGGCAGAAGCTTCTAGAAAGAGCTAAGGAAAAGACCAACACCAGAGGGCAAGCAAAGAAAAACCGAAGAACTCAAATAAACGTTTTTATAGTTTTAGATCATGGTGACCTTTTTTTATAAGAATGCTACGTCTTCATGTCTTTAAATGTTGGACTCTGTTTCCCATGCTCCATTAAGGTTCATCACAAACTATAGCCATGACATCACTGTGACCTGTACTCTCAGGTGGGATGGCCTTCCCTCTCTACGAGAAGGCAGTGTCATTGGTACACTTTTATTTACAAGGCCCTTCTTACATTTGTACCTTACTTACACAGAAAAGCATGGCCTCTTATGCCCTGAGATCAACCATCAGCTGTTTCTCACTGCTCCGTTTGCCCGAACAGAACTGGGGAAGAACACCTTTAGCTACGCAGCTCCTTGTGCGTGCAAGTTTTTACAAAGAAACTGGAAATTGACTGAGTTTTTGATCTGTAAATGTTTTACTTGATATGTTTTTTATTTTTTTATGTACCTGTCATTTATTTTAATGTATCTATATTTCTTGTGTAACTTTGCTGCCTCTTGGCCAGGACTCCCTTGAAAAAGAGCTTTTTAATCTCAATATTTTTTTCCTAGTTAAACGTAAAAAAAAAAAAACCACCAATAAAACTAGAAAAACAAAGAAAAACACGTGAAACTGAAAACTCACAGAAAACTTAACAGAACCAGGACCGTGACAAGATCGCCACACGCTTAAAAAAAACACACCAAAAAGTAAGTAATTAAATGGTTTCTTTTGTACGTGACTAAAGGGAAACACATCCGTTGAGGTATTTTAAAGTGTATTTAGAGATAAACTGAAGGGATAAACGGGTATTGACTATAGGTATGCTCATCTGACAGAGCACCGGCTCTTTAAATGTACTCCTCATGCTGGCCGTTAGATGCTGAAATTGAGAGGAAATAAGTTTGTGGCCAGCTGCAGTGGAGATAATGAGCCCAGGCTTCTTCTCGCTGAGATAAAAGGAGTGTTGCATACCGAGACTCAGACTAATGCACTTTCTTCTACACTGAATATCTGATTGTTTATCTGTTTGAACTGTTTGTCTCTGAGCAGGCGGCAGGACTCCACTGCAGAACTTCCTGGGGATTGCGGAGCAACACATGGGCTCTAATAACGGGGTGAGTGCACGCCGCCCCGGCGCTTCGTTATGGTCCTGGATCCCTCTCTGGTCCGTTATTGTCCTGAATGAACGACCCCCTGCAGCATCGCCATCCTCTTCATCTTTCTGTCTGTGTGTGAAAATCCCAGCTGTCTGGACAGAAGAGCTCTCTTGTAGCCGCTTAACTCGGACGCTGCAGCCTGCTCTGAAATATTGATCATGCCTTTTTAATTTGTTTCGCTTTGAGAGCCTGTATGACTCACACCTCCCTCCTTACTCCCTCTGTGTGCTCCCACTCCCACTCGCTTTTTTGTCCTTACTCCTTTCCACTCGCCTTCTCTTCCCTTGACGCCACTCAGAAAGCTTGTTTTTGTTTTCCTCCCCCTGCTTTGATGTTCTTTCTGCAGATATTTTGAGCAGATTTTGATCTCATGTAGATTTATCCTTATGCTGCTAATCTTACACTTTAAAGAGGTAGAAAAACCGATCAAATCATCATCCAGTGGAAAAGAAGCACGAAAAACTGTTTCTCATTTGATTTCTAGTTTTTGCTAGAGATGGACCAACACAGGCTTTTTTCTTAAGGCTGATGCCGATACTGATCAGTTCATTAGACTAAACGATATGTCAGGAACCAAGGGCATAAAAGACACTTTAAAAGTGTTATTTAGTGACGTTATGAGATGAACGGAGGCTTCCAGGCATGCTTTCTGAAAATGATGAGGTCCGAGGCCTCGCTAGCCAGCCGTACCATGTGACTACTTTGGGGAGTTGTTCAGTATGATGGACTGACCAGTAAGGAAAGTCATTTACATGTGTATGTACAAAAAATACGTTCTTTTATTAAAGCTAACAAGACTAAATTAAACAAAATGACCCCCCTTAATGAGACAAAGGGGAACTTACATAGTAGCGGATCAGTCCACAAGAAACACATGGGGTAAAACATACAAAAACTGGACTAAACCAAATAAAGTAAAACCCCATTTCCCCCCATAGCACTGATATGGTACGGTCCAAATCAACTCAGCCCCTTGGTCTCCTGTTTGTTCATCAGCCAAGGGACTGGAGCAACTGCAAAACTTAAACACAATATCAATTAATCACAATCACAACAAAAAGTCAGTGAACTAAAATAAATAAAGATTTAAATCAAACACTATTTGGAAAAAACAAAATTATATAAATGGTGTTTGAGACCACATCTGTGTGGCAGATGGCCACTCAAACTGAGTCTGGTTCTTCTGGAGGTTTCTTCCTGTTCAAAGGGAGTTTTTCCTCTCCACTGTTGCTACAAGCATGCTTACTGTAGTGAGAGGGATTCCATCTGAGTCAATGAGTGGATGGAATGAACTGGTTTTCCTTAGATAGAAAACTTTGAATCAAATTGACTGGATGATCTGGTTGAACTAAAGTGCCTTGAGATGACATGATGTGAATTGGCGCTATAGAAATAAACTGAATTGAATTGAACTGAATGCAGCCACATTCAGATTCCCTGAGAGTTTGGGTGTTTGCTGCGTAGGGTCATGTCAAACCTTGCCGATTTAGCCAACGTTATGCCCTACGTCCCAGAATCTCCTAAAACGCTGGCATATGCTGAACACACTAGGGTTGTCACGATACTAAACCTTTCAACTCGATACCGATACTAAGTAAAATATTCGATACTCGATGTCATTTTCGATACCACAAGGATAAAAACAAAGACTCCAAAATTCAACAGAATTTTTTTCATTAATAAACAAAATACAATAAATAGATAAATAAATACAATAAACAATATTTTGAGGTTGTTTGCTGTGCACAATATTAAGCAAGCTTGATAAAAAACTTACAAAATTAAAATTAAGTGTTCCTTCCTTGGCTATGCTTTGCACACATAGCAATGACACTAGCCAAACCAGTTAAAAAAGAAAAATTATTCTCAGCAGCTGCACCTGTTAGAGAAAAAAGTCTGAAACTGAAAAGTGCAAAGAATTATTCAATCACACAGTGTTCTGAAAGTGCATTTTCCTCTAATCTGCGTATAAGATGAATGACTATTTAGGTGCCACTGGTGGTAGCACTGTATCGATTAGGGATGCACGATATTGGGATTTTGGCCGATATGCCGACATTTTAAAACTCATGTAGCCGATAACCGATATCGATACTGATGTTAAAGCTGGACAAAAATAAGTAGTCATTGAAAATAGCAGTTTTGTTATCCATTTCTGACACTTAAAAATAATGTGCTCAAATATATTTTCATATGCTGATATCAAATTGATTTTTTTAAATGCGGTATCGATCTATTTTACTTTCAAAATCTCGTGGAATTTCATCGTTCTGTTACAAACTCTCGTGATCTTTTGCAAATTCTTGTGAGATTTTGTTAGTAAAATAGATCGATACCGCGTCAATATATCAACATATAAAAATATGGCAAAATTTGGTGAATTTTCGGGGGATTTCGTAGCATAACGATGACATATAGCAATATTTCATTAGTAAAAGAGATTGATATGGTGTTTTTAAATGGCAATATATCAGCATATGAAGATATTGTGATATTTTAATGGATCAATATACAATTCGCGTCTTTAGAAGTTTTTAAGTCTGTAGAAAAGATGTTTTTGAGGAAGAAGAAGAAGTAGTATTTTTAATTTTTTTTAGACTTTAGAAACTCAGAAGCTGATCAAATATCGGGTTAAATATCGGTGGGGTGGCCGATGTCCGATATTCAGTTTTAAGGCCGATACAGGCCGATACCGATAGGGGGCTGATTATATCGTGCATCCCTAGTATCGATACTTTTGAAAATGAGTATTGTATCCGGATACAACTTTTCAGTATCGATACTTTTGACAACCCTAGAACACACATCCAGTTAGTCACAGTCAGAGAAACAGGACTACACTGGAAAACAGGCCGATCTCCAGCATTTATAAACAAAGGGGTTGATGGCAGCAGCACAGCTGATATTTCTCTCCAGGATGGAGTCTCAGCCAAACTCGGCCAATTAAAAGGAAAGAAAGTGTAATATCTCTGATATATTGACAACCCACTGGCTACAGTTTTCATACTTATTTCTGTTGACTATTCTGTTTTATTAAAATAAAAGTATATTTGAAACTTGCTAAAATCGTATTGGGTTAGTATCGGTATCGATCAATGTAGCAGGACATCCCTAAATCAAAAGTTTTATGGTTACCCTGCATGGTTTTATCACTTAGTGCTACTAACAGGAAGTGCTACATGAATAATAATCTACAAATAAAGAGGACTTGATTTAAAATGTTCCTTTTTTGTGCCACTGTAGGGAAACAAGCATCAGGAGCAGAGAGCATATGAAGTAAGTTGTGAAAAAAAAATAATAATAATTTAAGTCACCTTTGAACCTTCACTGCTGCTTTATAAAAGCTCTGCTTCATCGTTTATTCTTTCTTTACCTCCCCCAGGCTTTGGTGACACAGATGTCCACCCCCGCGGTGACGAACCCCGGCGCTCTGACGGCAGAGGAATACTTTAACCCCAGCTCCACGCAGCAGACGCTGAGGGACATCGGCCAGCCGTGCCAGCTCACCACCAAGACCCAGAGGTGACCCCATCTGACAGGAACACAGACAGGCGCGCCATCCGCGCCGCTCTCTGATCTGATGAAAACGATGGCCGGATGAAAATGAGCCACTCATGGCGGCCGACTGCAACAATCCTGAGGTGGATGACAGATAGCAGAGAGGAACCAAACAGGCGTATTTATGGTGCAGTCGAGCATTTAGGTGCTCTGACTGCTGCAGCTCTGGGTGGATGACTCATAGCACCCTGCTGTCAATCCACTTTATTAATAATACCAGATAAAACATGGAAGCAAAGGAAGGCAGGGGAAGAAAATCGAAGGAAAATGTGTAAAAATAGAAGCAACTTTATCCCAGTTTGTGATCTTTACTGGTTAGATGGTGATCTGTCTGGGAATCCTCCATCTGCTGGGAAGTTTGCTCCGTTCGTCTGTCGTTTACGGCGTTCATCATCGTTAAATAAAAAGCGACAGGACATGATGAGATTAATTCTTAAGGAGACGGATCTGCCTCTCCGTTCCGTGTTCATTATCGCACAAATTAGGGTCTCAGAATTGATTGGCTCGGCTTTGAGCATGACTCAGCAGTTCCTGGACAGCCCCAGTTAGCAGCTGAGATCAATGTTGTTTTGTATCTCTGTCTAAATGGCTTTGATAACACAGAATCAGGCGGGTTCTTTTTTATGGAGTGAATTTTGTTCCATGATTGTTGAAAGCAAAGAACATGTTTTTTAAATGGAAATTAAAAAAAAAGAAAATGAAATCCAGACAAGTTTTATTAAAATAAAGATTTTTAGAGGAACTTTGTGCTTCCTAAAATGTCATTTTGTTTTTATTTTTAAATAGTTCTGTACAAATTTTTTTCAAATATTTTTTTATTTCTCTCAAATAGAGTTTTATAAATTACGTTCTTTTCAAATGTAAATAAAACAAATATATTTTATGTTTTCAACTCTGCACTATATCCTAACACTAATACTAAGCCTCGCTCCTGAACAATAAAACTGTTGTTACCAACATCCATGAAGACCAAAAGAATTTAGTTTTGCCCCGATGCCATTTTTTTGGCTCCGTTACCCGATACCATCTGTTTGAAATTGATGTGTGTATATTAGGGATGGAACGGTTTATGAAAACCGTCCGAACCGTTCGGTTCGACTGTCTCGGTTCGGTTCGCGTGTGTTGCGTTCGGTTCATGCGCTGCTCCTTTTTCTCATAGGTGAAGCGTTTCCACTCCAGAGCAGAAGGTGGCGGTACTGCGACCAAAGCCAACCACCAGTAGTAAACAAGAAGAAGAAGAAGCGAAGCAGCTTAGCCGGGTGTAGCAGGGAAAAAAATAATTTTTTGTGGAGAATTGTGTGGGTATGGCGAGTGGGAAAGAACAGGAGTTGGAAGACGCGCCAGCAGCACTTTATAGGTCTGCTGTATGGGACCACTTTGCATTTAGAGTGACCTACGATGACGGCGGAAAGAAACTTGTGGATAAAAGTGCAACAGTGTGCAAGCATTGTGCAACACGTTTTGTTTATGCTAACAGCAACATGACCAACATGTCAGGCTAACCCCGAAATCCCTCATACTCCGTCAACGCTCCGCCCCGCTGCGCTCCAGACCGGCTGCACAAAGCAAAGCCTACAGCCCCCACTATGGCTCCCGTCAGCTCCGCTCTGAGTTCCTTGGAGATGGTAGAGGGCATGCGCCAGATGATTAAATGATCCAGGGTTTCCGCGGATCATTAAAAATAATTACAATTCATTAATTTTTTGGGATTTTTTCATTAATTAATTATTAATTTTCATTAATAAATTTTAATTTTTACATTAATTTTTATCATTTTTATTTTTTTTCGGTGTAACAATAAACATATACCGAACCGAACTCAAAACCGTGACCACGAAACCGTGAATCGAACCGAACCGAGGGTTTTGTGAACCGTTCCACCCCTATTGTGTATATATGAAGAGCTGCATACTACTTGGATGTAAAATAATTGCCATCATGGCTTTGTCAAGCTGCTGCCTACCTTTGTGAAGCAGGAAAAAGACTAATCCGAAGTGAATCCAGTAGAACTTTTTATTGCCTACCTGGAATGAGTGGCGATAGTTGAAGGAACTTTTGGCTCTCAAAATGGAATCAGTGTCCTAATTGTTGGTCCTCGCCGATTCCACCATTTTAGTGCTGGATCGGGGCCCCGCCCCATACTGGTATCAGTGCAACACTAATAGAAATGCTTCTTTGCTGCAATACAGAGGAAATCCCGCCCCTGATTTTGAAGAGGCTGATTTAAAAAAAAGAAAGAAAAAAAAGCTACTCATAGAACTCAATCTGAAAAACAGAAATTTGGAAAAAATGTATAAAAAATATTAAATGACAATTTGTTTAGAAAAAAAAGTATCTAAAAACTATTCAAACGATAAGATTTTGATATATGTAGAAAATAAATACAATTTAAGAAACAAGCAAAGTTTCATTTCTGGATTTCATTTTTTTTCTTCTTCAAATTCCCATGTACTAAACGTTAAAGGAAGGTTGCTCTACTTTAAGTTAATTTAGGTGCCATTAGAGGGAGAGGGGGTATGAAAAATAAGTTTAATTTCTTCACACCCCTTTTCACACAATTTCCATTAATCAATGTCATTTCTCTGGCTGTATATACCGACAGGTTTATTTAATGGAGGGTTTTATTTCTATTTATGTTCAGGTGAATTTAGTTAGTTTGGAAATTGGTGTTTGGTTTGGTGTTAACTAGTCTCTTTTGTGTGTAATTGATTTATTTATTGTCGTTTGTCATAATTGTCTGAAATAAATTCCTATTCATTCATTTGTTTTTCCGTGCAATAATAATGGGACAAAATTCTCTCCATACTTTTTGTGAGGAGTTTCAGTGTTTCTGTTTTTATTTTTTAAGGTTTAAAGCCAAGTTGTGGCTGTGCGAGTCCCATCCTCTGTCCCTGGCGGAACAAGTGGTTCCCATCATCGACCTCATGGCCATCTCCAACGCCCTGTTCGCCAAGCTGCGTGACTTCATCACTTTGCGGCTGCCGCCTGGTTTCCCGGTTAAGATCGGTGAGCGTGGGAGGAATTTAGAGTGACGGATGAACGAAGGAGATCAAAATGTTGGCTGTTTATCTGAAGGGTTGAGACAGGATGATGAATATTTAATAAACAGATGGTGAGATGGACTTGACAAAGTGATCTGAGAGGCAAACTGACAGACAGGATGTTCTCTCCCCTTTAGAAATCCCCCTGTACCACATACTAAACGCCAGGATCACCTTCAGCAACCTGAACGGCTGCGAGGAGGGAGCCGGCCCTCGTTCAGACAACGACACCGGGGTGGAGGGGGACGGCCAGCGGGACGCCGCCAGGACAGACGCCCCCTCTCCAGGCAGCGACTCCTCCAGCGTGTCCAGCTCCAGCTCCACAAGTAAGAGCTACGAGAATTTAAGCACTTTAGGTCAGAATATGGAGAAAAATCTCAGTCTGATTTTATCAGGATTTCATGTCCACAATTTCATGTTATTTACATTTAAAAACCTGATTAGTGTGGCAGGCATTTGGGTAGTGATGTTATGAGATGAGGTTTCCAGTGATGGAGGGGACGTTCCCCTGATGCGCATGTCGAGGTGTAATTCATTTAGGGGAGGGGCCAAAGTTTAGACAATGTCATTTTTTGAAATGCACCCTTGAAAAACAGTAATAAATAAATTTAAAAAAACAGCAATATAAACATACGACTGTATATTTACAGCTGTAACATTATATATATATATATATATATATATATTTTTTTTTATAAATAAAATCCTGCATCAGATGCTTCAAAGCCTCTTAACTAGGCTTAAATAGGCTAATAGGGGGGGGGGGGGGGGGGGGGGGGGGTGTGAGGGGTCATTGATGATGTCACGGGCTCAGGACACGCAGCGCTGGGATGAAATGTATTTAATGGAGGGAGGAGGAGCCTGAGGAAACCACCTCAGACTTTTAAAAGTTGCTAAGTATTTTGGCTACAGTGACTATTTTTTATTGGTTTGCTCTTGTATAAATATAGATTGGAAAAACCCTGCCAAATTTATTGTTTGAATTAAAATGACTAAAACCTTAAAACTACAAGCAATTTCACTAAAATAGTAGAAAAAGTGTAGCTTAAATGATTGTTCTCTTCTATTTTACACAAAAAAAAATAAAAACTTACAAAAGATTTTATTACAAACACCAATCATTAACAATTTCAGAGTAATTTCAATGGGGGAAAAAAGAAGAAAAGAAATTGCAAAAAAAACAGATTCTATTACTAACTGTAGTTCTGCACTCCACCAGTAGGCGGTGACATGTTCACATGGAGCTTCATGAACTGTGGGGTTTGCTGAAGCAATTTTGCTAAACGGTTCAATGCCTCATGAGGCTTCATCTCACCATCACTACTTACCGAAAGTATACTACTATTCCTAAACGTATAAGAAATGCAATATTCCATCCTTTTTATTTATTTTTTAAACAGCTTAAGTTCAGTAAGATTTGATTAAAAGATTAATTATACTGCAAGTTTTTTTAAATATTCTGCTAATTTTTAAAACCTCAGTGTCAAGGTTTGTGTGGAGGTTTTTTTTTTTTTTTTTTTTTTAGGACCCATATGCAGAGATGAGAAGGCAGTCGAGTTTTGCTGATTTAATTAGGTTCAACAGGAAACTCAGGCAAAAATCCAGGAACGAAAATAAGACATCAAAACTCAGGACATGCCAGGGAGAAACAACACATGGAGAGGGAACAAGCAAGGAAGCAACAAATCGACAAGAAATGAGGAACTGCAGAGGTGGTGTATATATGGGGAAGAGAACAAATAATGGACTAATGAGCCGATATGGAGCAGGTGTGAATAGAACTAACTAGAAGGGAGACAAGGGGAAAGGAAACAAGCACAAGGGGGCGACAGAGAGTAACTCAAAAACCCAATAATTACAAAGAAACTAAAAATAAACTTAAACAGAGGGCAGAACCCTGACACACAGAACACACACAGGTCTGGTCCTCAATCACAGCAGAAAGTAATCTAAAAGTAATTAGGTTTCCCCTTAATGGGAGCAGAAGATGATGCAAGAATGGAATAACTATTTCTACCATTCAAAAAATATAAGTAGAGAATATTAACCTGAAATAACAGAGTGAAATTGTCTTATTTTAGATGTCAATTCAGGAGAAAAAATACACTTATTTAAAAACAAATGGACGGTGCGTGTTGCACACTGCAAAGGTTTAGATACAAGCAAATTATTTTGTCTGTAAATTAGTGTATTTTCCCTCAGTTCCAGCAGGTAACTAACACGATCTCCCAATCGAATAAAATTTTACATGTTTGAAAAAACAACCTATTATTAATTTTCTGGTGCATAATATTTACAATGAAAAAACGATATAGAAAAAGGACAACATTTCTAAGCGTATTTACCCTTAATTTGAGTAGATAAATGATCATTTGTAAATCCAAGGATTATCTTTACTCTTAAAATAAGATAATTAGAAAATATGTGCTTGAAATTAGACTTTTTCACAAGTTTTTCCACATACATTTATCTTTTTTATTCTGTAGCCTAATATGTTTCAGCATATTATAATAAAAACACTTAGTGCCTTCTGTTAATGGAAAGATCCCTCGATAAAAGAGAAACCTAAAGATGTTAGAACAAGGAATGCTTATTGATTAATCATTATTGGATCGATAAGAACAATCAAGTTTAGATTCATTTATTAATTGATAACTTACTGTGAGGGTTTGGTTGAGGTTTAAGGGACCCAAACGCAGAGGCATGGAGGCAGAGGTGAGTTCTTATAGTTTTAATGGAGCGTTCACAAGCAGCAGAGGCAGGAATCCAACATGAAAATGTAAAACCAACCAGAACCATGGAGACATCAGGGAAAACATGCATGAGGAGCCGGGGAAAGACGGGGAACCACCACTGAGGAACTGCACAGGGAGAGTTTATTACCCTTGAAAAACCGTGCTGAGACCGGTCCGAGCTCAGTAACTGAGATAACTTATCGTGTGTAAATGGAAAGCAAACTGAACTGAATCGAGCTAACTGCAGACCAGTTCCAGAGGTGGGCTCGGCTCGGTTTTTCCCTGGTTTTCTCTGATAACAAGAGCGCATTTTGATTTGCTTGATTCCCTCCTTCTTCGTCTTCTTCTTGTGTTTTATGGCGGTTGGCAAACAACTTTTGGTGCATTACCGCCACCAACTGCTTGATTTCCTCCTTCAGTACTGGCAGTAATACCGCAGATCGTCACTAGGAGGCGAGGAGTCGAAGAACCGAGATAGCGTGATGTCTAAACGGTCATCAGAACCGAGCTCGGCCTGGTTAACTGATCCGAGCTCGGACCGATCTCAGCATGGATCGGTTTTTCAAGGGTAGTGTAAATTGGGCTAATATGGGAGACTGAACAAAGACGGGACTAAAGAGCTGATTGGGAGCAGGTGTGAACAGAGGCTTCTAGAAGGAGCTAAGGAAAAGGACACCAACACCGGAGGGCAACAAAGAAAAACCTAAGAACTTAAATATATCCAGAAAATACAACAAAATAGGAATTAAACTAATAAAACTAGAAAACATGGAGCAAAGTAAAACTGAATACTCAAAAGAAAACTTAACAGAACCAAGACCGTGACATCATCAGCAAGATTTTACCCAGACCAAGTCCCTTTCAATGGCAAACAAAAATACAGATTAAATAAGCTCTTTTTTTTCTTCTTCTTCTTCTTCAGACCTGCTGCACCGCAGCTTCATGGTGTCTGGATTCCAAATGCCCGGCCTACATTTTCCATCTTTATCATTCTAATGTATTCTTCTTCCCCTTCACAGTTATGTCCTACTAAATTTCAAAGTAACACGGTGGCAAAACAAAGATGTAAGGATCTGAAGTAAACTCTTAAGGCTTCAGTATTTGGTCTCTCTCGCGTCTCCTCCCCCCCCCAGCTGCTGATTTATGGAGCTGATGAGGAAGATGCGAGCTGTTTTTATCAAAGATTTGTTCTTTTCGTTATTGGATCATGTCCTGTGCTGATTGAATCAGAACCTCATCAGCGCGGTATAAATCCGCATCTGTGTCGTCCAGCCGTGTAATTGATTCGACGGCGGTTCTGAAGGAAGCTCTTTGGGTCCCAATGTTATCACGCCATACGGCTCCACCTATAAAAACACTTCATCATGTGATATGTAAAGAAAATACTCATTCTAACCCAGATAAGTCAGAAATGTTTTCCTCTGTTTTTCCTTTTCCTCTTGTTCAGTTTCCTTAAATACCAGGTAACACTTCCTCCCCTCTCTTTACCTTTATCCCCCCCTTCAGTTTCATGCAGAGCAGGAGAGATTCCCCCATGTGTGTTCGAGCCCCCGCCTGGATACACCATGCTAGGAGGCAAACAGAGAGACAGCATGAGGGAGGAGGAGGAAGACTTACTGCAGTTTGCTATACAGCAGAGCCTGTTGGAGGCCGGAACCGAATACGATCAGGTGATCCTGCTGGGATTTCTTCACTCTAAATCACGTCACAGACTCGGCTTCACACTGACTCCACCAAACCAAAACACTGCAGGATTGCACCAGATATTTTTAAAGGAAAAGTCCGGTGAGCAACGAATAACCAATGGGTCTTTATTTATACCTAAAACGAATACGTTTGAGGTGATTTAATGAAAGGAGCGGCCATTTTCGCACCTCGCTCCATGTTCTTCACAGTGTCCATGTGGTCAGAAAATATTTTTCTGCAGCTTTTAGAGAGAAGATTAGAAGAAGAAAGATTTATGTATAAAATGAAAAAGAAGGATGTGGACAACAAAAATACAAACTGGTCTATATAATATAAGCTGTAGGAAAAGCTGAGGGGTGCAAACACCTTATGAACAGTGTTGGGCACGTTACTTTGAAAAAGTAATTAGTTATAGTTACTAGTTACTTCTCCCAAAAAGTAACTGAGTTACTAACTGAGTTACTCCACAATAAAAGTAACTAGTTACTAGTAAAAGCAACTATTGCGTTACTTTTGCGTTTCTCGCCCCCGTAACCCTCACCACCCGGCCCCCACCTGCTCACCGTGTGTTTCCAAAGCCAGCTGAATAGAGCGGACGACAAAGACAAGAACCTGCAGAGAGTTTTGCATTTATTGCAACTCAACGTAAATGACATCGGGGGGAACGCCATGTGAAGTTTTTTAACAGGGCATTCAGATCTGGTGAAATTAATAACTGGGGATGTCTAATTCTGAAATCCTGTGTGTTTGGGTTGTTATAGATACTGCAACATCTATCTCTATCTATCTATCTATCTATCTATCTATCTAGATTTCTCCCTTTCATTTGATCGTTCACGCTCTCCATAGTTCTCCTGTGGCGCGAGCACAGGGCGACTGTTGCGCGATTTTAGCGAGCATGCGCGTTTCCTTTCACTTGCGAGTTGAATCGTGCCGCCTGCGCTGTGCGGAGATGCAGGGGAAACCGTATGTGATGGGGAAACGCAGCTCGACGTAACACCAGTATTTCCATGTGGAAAACGCTGTTTTGCTGCGGGAGTCCTCCTCACTCTCCATCTCTCTGTGTGTGCTGTACGTTAACACCCGCCAGCAGAAACACCCACCTACCCAACTGACAAACGGAATCTCACTATACATCAGCCATTCTCATCCTCCCCTCTCTCATGACAAGGCGCGCACCTCTACCTAAAAAATAATCTTTAATATCTCTTAAACAAAAGTAGCACAAACAATATTTTTTTCTGCACAGATCTGCACTAACGTTGCACTAACCATTCAGTCTATTTGCAGAGCTTTTTGACGTGGGTGGGGTGTCAGCTTCACGCAGCTGCGCACGAGTCCTATCATGAAAAAAGGTTCATTGTGCGACCTGAGTAATGCACAGTAACGGGGTGTCTGCAATGGTAACTGCGTTATAGGTACAGTCAAAGTAATAAGTTAGATTACTCGTTACTAAAACAAGGTAACGGCGTTACTAACGTTCAACGCCGTTAGTCCCATCACTGCTTATGAATATGTGATTTCATGTCAAATTCAAAAGGTCCTGGAAGCACAAAAAAAACAAAAAAAAAACATGATTGAAGCTAGGGGTGGGTATTGCCAAAGAAGTCCCGATTCGATTCAAATCACGATTCACATGCCACGATGCGATTCTATCACGATGCATCATGATACTTGAAATATTGCGATGCGTTGCGATATTTTCACTGAACACTATTAGAAAAAAATACTGCCCTTACCAGTGGCTGCGTATGATCTGGATAGTGTTTCAATTGATACATTGATACAACTGAATTCATACATTGCTGTATTTATTGAAACAACTTTCTGAGGTGTTGCCATGAAAAAAAAATACTGGACAAAAATATTACTATTACTGGCGTGGACACACTGACAAAAAGTGCTTAGGATTCATAAAACTTGAAATAACAAAATAAGGATAATCAGTGCCGTTTACATGGCCTCAGTGGTCCTTTAAACCAATGAAAGGAAAACATTCAAATGGATGACATTTCCCCTTTTGCAAATGACGTGCGTCTTATCAAATCCGTTTTTACCTTCTTTGTTTTTAAAGCCAAAATGCATCCAAACATCTGACTTGAAATGTGATGGAGCCAGGGCGAATTTTCTCAGTCTCCTCCGTGTTTTGTTTACGAATGACTCGTCGCAGTATCCCTCGGACGGAAATGCTTGTGACACAAGGCAGCGGGCGTCAACACATCCGCAGCGATATCTACTAACAGGAAGCTGTATTCCACTTGTTTTTGCCGGATGTGCGCCAACCGTTCATGTATTTTATTTATTCCTTTTTTTAAATTAAGAATCGATGCACTAGATCCCAACAATTAGAATTGCAATGCATCGTCATGACGATTATTTTGCATACCCCTAAGTGTAGCGTAGCCAAACACATGAAACAAAAAAAAAATGCTGGAAGTAGTAAAAAGAACTACAAGGTAAATCTGCAAACTCGTGCTGCATAAGAGCTCCAGTCCACTAGGGGGAGACAAGGGTCAACACATCTAAGGAATGTTGCAGATATTACTATAAATTCATATCTGTGGGGGGAAGATTTCCTATGAATCTTTTTTATTTTATTTTACCTTTTAGCATCTAGTTTATGTCTTAAGAGTCTCATTCCCTATGATTTGATGATCGTCTCCCCCTAGTGGTGTGGAGTTGTTCTCTAATGCAGGACTGATTTGCAGCTTTTTTTTTTTTGCTATGCAGCATTTTTCCCTAAGTGTTTTTTGTGTGTTTTTGCATATTTTACTTGTTTGCATCATGTTTCCACTTTGCTGCTCTACTATATATAACTAAAGCGTTTATTCTCTGCAGCAGGTCTTTTTTGCATGTGTTTTTAATTTAATCTATCTTGAATTAGCTACTATAATTTTTTAGTTTGGATTACCATTTAAAGCTGCTGTGCATTTGCCCCCCTCTGCCTATTTACCATTTTTTCACCCTTTACAGTTTGGATAACCTTTTATGCTCAGTGATTATTTTAATAAAGCCTGTTTTATCTAAAGAACTGTCCGACAGAGAGAGGAATAGGACCCAATCAGTTAATTGGAAAAAACAGAAAACTTTAAAATACCAAATGCTACCTTTCTTTTTAATTTTGACTAAACCTTTTTTTTTCTTTGTTAACCTGAAATTGCCTCATGCATCACATCAGATCAAACACTTTGCAAATACATAAATTGACTGAACTTTGTTATTTTTTCCACACTGCAATAAATATTTTCTTAACATAACAGTTTTATAAACAGCCTAATAAATCACGATGAACGCTGTCCCCTCTACTTTAAATTACAGGGATAAATTCAGCAATACGTCAATGAAAACCTCAACACTTGGGTGTGCTCTAGTACACAAATAGAAGCCAGTTTCAAAATAAAAACAGTCAGAGTGAAGTAAAATCAATAAGCAACATAAATTGCCTCTGAAGGAAGTAACGAAGAGGCATTACTCCTCCAGCTGCCTCAGGATATGCCTGCGCTTAAATCCCAAAGATCCTGCTCCTGATAGTCCTCTGATTTCTTCTAAGGGTGCAGTCTGGGATATAAATAGTCTCAGGGAGGCAGGTCAGACAACATCCCCAGATGTGTTTCTGTAGGTGAGAAATAAATGCAATAATAAAAGCAGAGGTTTTTGTAGCCTGCATTCAGAGACCTCCTGCGGTTTTAACTCAATATTTACACCTTTCAGGTTTAGTTTGTTTAAATGTCGTTACACTAGGATGATTTTAAGGTGCTGTGATTACTTTAAGACAAACCCACAGACTTATTTAATTTAAAGCCAAATTATTTGGAATTTTCAACCAAGTTTTGTCCTGGAGTCTGAAAACCAGAGCTTGCTCTAATGCAGTTTACTGTTAATTTATGAGTCATAATCAAACCAGCTGGCTCCTTTTCTGCTCTGTGTGTGTGTATGGGGGGGTGTTTTAGTGGGGACTGATGAGGAAAATACCCAGACGAAGGATCCAGCCTTCCCAGAAACCCCTCCGTCTCCTCCACTTCCACCTCTCTGACTTCCTGTTCTGCCTGGTTTGTTTCTAGGTTACTATCTGGGAGGCACTGACCAACAGCAAACCAGGAACGCACCCTCTGCCCTGTGACCCGAGTCGTGTTGAGAGGTGAGATAAAAGGCTTGTTTTTAATTCAGTTCAGTTTATTTCTATAGCGCCAATTCACAACACGTCATCTGTAAGCACTTTCCAGTTCACCAGATCGTCCAGTCAGATTGATTCAAAGTTTTCTATCTAAGGAAAACCAGTTGATTGCATCGAGTCCCTGACTCTTCAGCAATCCCTCACACAAAGCATGCTTGTAGCGACAGTGGAGAGGAAAAACTCCCTTTGAAAAGGAAGAAACCTCCAGCAGAACCAGGCTCAGTGTGAGCGGCCATCTGCTGAGGCCGACTGGGGTTCAAGGAGACAGAAGCAGAGACACAAAAAGTTTTTTTTACACTCAAAAGGCATACACTATAAAATTCTAATTTTATCTATTTTGTTCTGTGTTTATTATTTAGAGATCAGCGTCTACTGTAAAAGATTTCTTAACAAATTTATCAAGTGAGCAGAAGCCGGTCGGGATAAATGTTGCTCAGGTGCAGGAGTTTGGAGACCTAGAAAACCGGCACACCATGCAGAGATTTAAAGGTCTACTATTAAATTTAACATTTCGAAAGACTAAATTTCTGGAAGCAGTCGGGTTAAAGGTTGTGGGTTTTTTGCTCCAGTTCTAAGGAACTCTGAGAATCAGAACTCCCATTTCTTTCTACAACCAGGTTACTTCTTGTTAAATCAGCGGATAAAAGTCTGAATCCAACTCAAATCAATTCAATTCAATTCAGTTTATTTATATAGCGCCAAATTCACAACACATGTCATCTCAAGGCACTTTACAGTTCAACCAGATCATACAGTCAAATTGATACAAAGTTTTCTATCTAAGGAAAACCAGTTGATTGCATCGACTCATTGACTCAAATACAATCCCCCACACTAAGCATGCTTGTAGCGACAGTGGAGAGGAAAAACTCCCTTTTAACAGGAAGAAACCTCCAGCAGAACCAGGCTGAGTGTGAGCGGCCATCTGCCGAGGCCGACTGGGGTTCAAGGAGACAGAAGCAGAGATACAAAAAGCAGCTGTAAAAGGCGGCCCCGTCCAGGAAACACACAGCCAGGCAGACGAGCTCCAAGGCAGCTCCCATGCCAGAGGACGAAGAGATCACATCCACTCAGTCACGGTCAGAGAAACAGGACCACACTGGAAAACAGGCCGATCTCCAACATCTATAAACAAGGGTGTTGATAGAAGCAGCACAGCTGATGTTTCTTTCCAGGATGACGTCACAGCCAAACAGGAACAGACGAGGCAAAGCTACTCTGAGGAAAAGCAGAGAGAGCAGAAGGTTAGAGATTGAACTAACAGATTCTGCAGGATAGGAGAACAGAGAGAGAATGAAGCAGAATGATGAAATGGGGGTCCCTATGTCCTCCAAAAGTCTAAGCCTATAGCAGCATAACTATAGAGATAGCTCAGGATAACCTGAGCCACCCTAACTATAAGCTTTATCAAAAATGAAAGTTTTAAGCCTAGCCTTAAAAGTAGACAGGGTGTCTGCCTCACGGACTAAAACTGGTAGTTGGTTCCACAGGAGAGGAGCCTGATAACTAAAAGATCTGCCTCCCATTCTACTTTTAGAAATTCTAGGAACGATTAGTAAACCTGCAGATTGAGAGCGAAGTGCTCTGTTAGGAACATAAGGAACAATCAGATCTCCGATATAAGATGGAGCTTGGCCATTTAAGGCTTTATATGTGAGAAGGAGGATTTTAAATTCTATTCTTGATTTAACAGGAAGCCAATGAAGAGAAGCCAGGATAGGCGAGATATGATCTCTCTTTTTAATTTTCATTAGAACTCTGGCTGCAGCATTTTGGATCAGCTGAAGGCTTTTAACTACAGTTTGTGGACTTCCTGATAGTAAAGAATTACAATAGTCCAGCCTTGAAGTAACAAATGCATGGACTAGTTTCTCAGCATCACCCCTGGACAGGATATTTCTAATTTTTGTAATGTTCCTCAGATGAAAGAAGGAAATTCTAGAAACCTCTTTGATGTGGGATTTAAATGACAGGTCCTGATCAAAAATAACACCAAGATTTTTTACTTTATTATCTGAAATCAGTTTAATCCCATCCAAATGAAGTGACTGGCTAATCAGTTTCTTTTTCAGAGACTCTGGTCCAAAGACTATAACTTCTGTTTTGTCTGCATTCAGGAGCAGAAAGTTAAGAGTCATCCAGGTTTTTATGTCTTCAAGACATGCCTGTAATCTATGTAATGGGTTAGCTTCATCTGGATTTATAGACAGATATAGCTGGGTATCATCAGCGTAACAGTGGAAATTAATCCCATGCTGTCTAATAATTCTACCAATTGGGAGCATGTATAAAGTAAAGAGAATTGGTCCTAGCACTGATCCCTGTGGTACTCCACAGGTAACCGTTGAGCGTGTTGAAGATCTATCATTAACATGAACAAACTGAATTCGATCAGATAGATAAGATTTAAACCAGTCTAATGCTGTTCCTTTAATTCCAACAAAATGTTCAAGTCTTTCTAAAATAATATTATGGTCAACTGTATCAAATGCAGCACTAAGATCCAACAGGACGAGCACAGATACAAGTCCATTATCTGAGGCCATGAGAATATCATTAGTGACTTTCACCAGAGCTGTTTCAGTGCTATGATGAGCTCTAAAGCCAGACTGAAACTCTTCAAAAAGTTATTATTAAGTTATTATGGTGGAAGTGATCGCAAACTTGTTTGGCAACTACTTTCTCAAGAATTTTGGATAAGAAAGGAAGATTGGATATAGGTCTATAATTGACCAAGTCATCTGGGTCAAGAGACGGTTTCTTAAGCAGAGGTTTAATTACAGCAACCTTAAAAGCTTTAGGTACATATCCCTGTAACAGAGATAGATTAATCACATCTAAAATGGAGGAGGAGATCAAAGGGAATACCTCCTTAAATAACCCGGTTGGAACTGGATCTAACATACAAGTTGAAGGCTTAGATGAAGACAATAATTTTGCTAATTCAGAGAGTTCAACTGGATCAAAGCAGTCTAAACCCGGTTCAGATTCCATGACTACCTCAGGTACAATCGCGGATAGAGGAGTGCTTATGATCTTATTTTTAATAAGATCAATCTTATTTATAAAGAATCCCATAAAATCATTGCTGCTAAGAGCAGGTGGAATGGACGGTTCAACAGAGCTATGGCTCTGGGTGAGTTTGGCAACTGTATTAAAAAGAAATCTAGGATTATTCTTATTCTCCTCTATTAATGAGGAGAAGTATGCTGCTCTTGCTTTACAAAGAGTCCTCTTATACAGCAGTAAACCATTTTACCAGACTAGGAAGGACTCTCACAGGCCTGTGGAGCGATATTTTCTCTCCAGTTTCCTAGCATTTTGCTTCAAAGTACGCAGCTCTGCATTAAACCAAGGAGCAAGCTTTCTATTTTTAACGGTTTTCATTTTCAAAGGAGCTGCGTTGTCTAAGGCAATACGCAGAGAACTAGCAACCCCATCAACAAAATCATCAACCTGTGAAGGGGAATAAGCTAAGCTTTTGCACTCTGCAGCACTGCTCAGTGACACAGAGGAGAGAGAAAGTGAAGCAGATTCTTTAAAATTTATAACTGCACTATCTGATAAAGATCTACTAAAATTGAACCTTCTTTTGGGGGAGGAGAACTCTGTTAAAGTAATCCTGAAGGTTATTGGAAAGTGGTCAGAGAGGACAGGGTTGTGAGGAAATACTGTTATTTCTTCACATTCTATGCCGTATGTCAGCACAAGATCCAAAGTATGAAGATGAGAATGCGTGGGACTATTCACATTTTGAACAAAGCCAATAGTGTCTAAGATAGCATTAAAGGCTGCTCTTAAGCTATCGCCTTCAATGTCAGCATGGATGTTAAAATCTCCCACTATGATGACCCTGTCAGTATTTAATACCAAATCAGAAAGGAACTCTGAAAACTCATCTAAAATTCAGAGTAAGGACCTGGTGGACGATACAAAGTTACAAAAAGAAGAGGTTTTCTTGCCTTGAAATTTGGATCAGGGAAATTAAGGGTTAAATGTTCAAAAGAGTTGTAGGTATTAATTGTTTTGGGAGTAATCAGTAAGTCAGACTGGAAGATTGTTGCTACTCCTCCTCCTCGCCCAGAACTTCTGGGGATGTGAAAATTTAAATAGCTTGAAGGAGTTGCCTCATTTATGCTCACATAATCCTCTTGCTGCAGCCAGGTTTCTGTAAGGCAAAACAAGTCAATGTGATTATCACAAATCAAGTCATTAACTAGTAGACTTTTAGAGGAAAGCGATCTTATGTTAAACAGACCGCATTTAATTGTTTTAACTTTTTCCCCAATTGGAGTTATTTTGATTTTAATTAGATTATCATGATTTACTCCTTTGGGAATCTTTGCTAATTTATTAGATTTTGGTCGTGGGCAAGACACTGTCTGGATGGAGTAAAGAGTGGGTAACAGTAGAGAAGCTGGAGAGATGTGTGTTAAACTACAACTCTGCTTCCTGGTCTGCACCCTGGGTGGTCAGGGTTTTGGAAGACTAATAAATGTGGCCAGATTCCTAGAAAGAAGAGCTGCACCATCCAAAGTGGGATGGATGCCGTCTCTCCGAATCAGACCAGGCTTTCCCCAAAAGGATTGCCAATTATTAATGTAGCCCACGTTGTTTTCAGGACACCACCTAGACAACCAGCGGTTGAATGACGACATGCGGCTAAACATGTCATCACTGGTCAGATCAGGGAGGGGACCAGAGAAAATTACGGAGTCCGACATTTTTTTTTCATGATCAGAAAGATGACTCTAAATACATAAGAGAAAAATAAATCAGAATTCTTATCAATTTTATAATAATTTATTCACAAAAACAATTCAGAACCAAGTCAAACTTATTTCATTTTGGCTAAGCTATTAAAATTCAGCTGAGCTACTATGTACACAAAGGAAGATAAATAAAAATGGCTAAAAACCATAATGAATAAAATAATGCAATGATACCACAGGCTGACATGGATG